CTTGGATGTGCAGGCGGTGTAATGGATAATGGCTTGGAATTGTTAATCAGTGAATTTGGTAATAATTCCCTTTGGTATCTGTCTATATCTCTGAGATGACAAATAAAGGGTTTGGTTCAAAATTCCAATCACCTGAAGAAGGCTGGAGCATACAATGGCCGAAACATTGTGAATATGACAGTGAAGATGAGGATCACAGTCTGAATAATGTAAATAATGTAAATTCCCTTTGGGTTTGTTATATTCATCTATGAGCAAATACTCTTGGGAAAGGTATGAATCCACCACTTCTTGCCCCAGCTATGGGTTAATTAGTAAAAGTTGAATCACTAAACCATTATTATCTTAAAGAAAAAAAATTCTTAATATCTAAAAATATTTCCTGGTTTTAAATAACTTGTTGATAAGCCATAGAGAACAAAGTACTTAAGCTTATGCCCATATCATGTTGAAATACTGATTATTGCACAATCACCAAGAACTTCCTTTCTTTCATAGTTCTTAGTAATGTTTGTCTTTTCACTATCCCTTCCATTCCATGATCTTCCTTCTATTTAGATACTCATTAGGTAGGTTACTCGCTGTTTTCTTCTGCATCTTTTGCCTCCAGTATGTCCTGTGAGTGCCAAATTTTCTAACCCTTCTTTCCTCATTAAGACGTGTGTGGTCATGGCCCTTGCCAACTCCCTGTCCTTTGTAGTTCATTAGATTGGTCACTTGCTGTTTCCCTCTGGACCTTTTGCCTTCAGTATGTCCTGTAAGTGTCAGATTTTCCAACCCTTTTTTCCTCATTAGGACATTGGTAATCATAGCTCTCCACAACTTCTTTTCCTTTGTAGTTCTTACTAATGTTTGTTTTTTTGCTACCCCTTCCATTCCCTGTTCTTCCATCTCTTTAGAAAACTTTTTCCCCTTGTCCTTTATTTTTTTAAGTCAGTATCACCCCATGCGAAGCAATAAAGCCACCAGGGTTTACAGGGTGTGGAAGAATTAGGGACAGAAACAATAAAGAGTGGAAAGAGAAAAAGTAATCAGGAAGAGAGTAGATAGCAATTGACATTGCATTTAAATTTTTGCAGATTAAAGTCGGCTGGAAAGCATGGAGCTGGAAAGAAGTTCCACAAGTGAGAAGTCCAAGAAAAGAAACTGATAGCATAGAACACTTAGCAAGAATTTTGTTAATTCTAATGCTTCCAAAATGAAACTGTTTTCTTTTATTTGTCTTAAAGAACCATTTTTGCTTTCCATTAGTATGGCTGATGCTAACTTCTACAAGAGTGACTTGTGCCTTCTCGGATTAACATTTTCCACTAACATGAAGTGGAAAGATTATATTGAATGAAGGTCTGCTGCTCAGAAAGTTGGTTCACTATGTCATACAAAACAATTTTTCTTGTCAGAATCTATCTTACATATTTATAAGTCTACCGTTCGTCCATTCATTAAATCTTGCTGCCACATCTTATCCGACACTCTTGCTATAGATTTATAGATTCTTGATAAAATCCAAAAGATGAATCTGCAATGTTATCAGTCCTGACATGGCATCTCAGCTTGACACGTAGTAAAAATATAAACATTTTCTCAAACTGCTTAACTGATATCATGATGTCATGAAAATAGGCAATTTTAAGGATGTTAAAAATATCAAGCAATTTTCAAGCAATAATACTGGCATTCCTATAACAGGAATGAATTTGGTTACTGCATAGAAATGTTAGGATAAGCATATGGTAGCAGAATAAAGAAGAAACAATGAAAATTTAAAGAAATAATAAATTGTATTGACATAAAAATACAACAAATGGTGAATCAATATAAATGACTCTCATTGGCAAAAGGAGACAGGTGGAGTTGTAAAAGGTGTATGAAAGGAGAGGGAGTATGAAATTTGACGTACTGGGGCGACAGTCTTTGGCAAGCTTTCTCTTGGAGATGGGAGGTAGTTTTCCAATGAAGTTTGTGAACCAGGTCCAAAATGACATCCAACTGCCGAAAATGACCCTTTGGTGGGCTATATTTAGTCGTCCCCCCACGAGGGCGTCATGTGGCACAAGGCCTTTTTAACGTGGGCATTTCCGAGCCATTAGGCTCGGCCAAAAAATAGCCCATTTGAACCCGTATAAACGGGTTCAGGGCCGGTTTTACCTCCCCGAAGGAGACTCCGCCCTTCGGCGTAGCCTCCTTCGGGTTCCTCTCCGTCCGTAGACAGAGAGTTGAACCGAACCGTCGCTCAGAAAGTGATGGGCTGTTATGTCCTTTCTTTAGGCTCAAATCGGATTCAGTTTTTATTTTGTTTCTTTAGGTGGGGTGGGTGTTATTTTGTAGAAATTCTCGATTGTATTGCTTATTTTCTTTACTTTGAATATTTGAGTAAAAACGGAAGGTAAGTGCAGAGCCTTGCACAATTGACGGAATTTTAGTTCAGTTTTGGGTGTTCGGAGCGTTCACATCTGGCCAGTGATGGAAATTAGTGTAGCATGAATCAGAAGAATATCTGGTTTTAAGAATAATGTATCAGAAATAATCTATTACATCATAAGGAAAACTAATTTGGATTCTGTATTTGACATACATGCTCGATGAAAATCTCTCAAACTGGACAGCAACTTTTTGTATTTGGGCATTTTGGCCATCTTCAGGTCCTTATAAAAATAAAAGTGCATAAGACACACCTAAACTATTTATACCATTATTATCTACAGTAAACATTGATTATTTTCACCAAATTTCAAATCTGTACATGCAATATCTTTGGAGATATGAAGGTCAGATATTAGTTAAAACCCATATTTAGCAAAACGCAAAAGAAATGCTGTGAAATTTCAAGATGGTCTGAGTTTAAAACTATTAAAGATACTGATCTAATATTTGAGATTTATCAATAAATTTGATCAAGAAACACCTAGAAATTTTCCCAGATTTTTTTTTTTATGAGGGTCACCTGTGGCCGTTGATTGATTTAGGATGAAATGACCCAGATTAATTTGTTTTATATAATTATTAAGTCATGTATTACTGAAAAGTTAGGTTTTAAATGGACTAGCAATTTTCTCTTTGTGTTTTAATTTAAATTTCAACATTCGATCTATAATACCTGGTTCAGTTGTTTACAGAAGGTTTGGGGTGATTTTAATGTGTAGTGAATGTACCATATCTACTCGTGTAACGTACAATGTTTATTTTAAATACAACTGTACTTTTTGACTATAGTTTAGTCAACGGCTTAGCTGTACATACACTAATTTTATATCTATGATGCGACCCCCTTAAAATTATCTTTAAAATAAGGTTGTTGGGGACGTGCAGAATTTATTAATTACTAGCAGTAGAGCCCGGCGTTGCCCGGGGATGTAGCAGTAAGAGATAGATCAAGTATCGACCATCATAAAGACTGAAAAATAAAATTGACAAAGATTATTGTTTAAGGTTGACGGACACGCATGTCTTAATTAGTTTTTTTTTTTTTTTTTTTTTTTTCGAATTGGTCAAACCCAAACTCAAAAAAAAAATTGTTTTCAATCGTTATGAGTCTACCGATTGAATAGAATTTTATTATAAACAATTGTCTTGTAAATGGAATTTTTAAAGCATTCTGAATGTAAAAATAAAGAAAAAAGTGTGCAAGACAATAAGAAACACTACCTGCCAAAAAAAAGTGAAGTTTTGTTGAAATCGGTTGAAAAATGTAGGAAATCCGATCTCAAATCCGTTTTATAATAAGTAAGATTTCAATGAATGCAAGGGTTTGTAAAAGTACGTAAGTGTTTTAGGAAATGCTAGTTTCATTTGGCAATATGTCCTGTGAATAGGGAAAAGGAGGTTGAATGTACGAGAAAAGCAAAAGTGACGGGTGAAAAACACGAGAGAGGTGTGAGGCGTGGGTAGTGGTTGTTAAGGCCGAGATGCCTTTGAAGTATCCGCTCACAGTTGTAAGTGTTCGTCTCTCTGTGTCTTCTCTGTGTGTCTCCTGTTGGAATCTTTTTTTTTTCTGTTTAGACAGGGGTTTATATTGTTAGCGAAGTTGAAAGAGGTTTCGATTAAGTTGTTGATTATTTCAGGCGCGCTCATTTCTTATTGGTTAACATATTTTTATTTAGGATTGTATTTAATCAACTTCAACCGGAAATTATGCGTAGAGGCGCAAAACTCGAAATATGTCATTATATTTTAAGCTGTTTCTTCTCTTTGTGTCACTACAGGACACCTGTAGCTTGGCAGTGTGTTGAGTTGAGAATCACCCATCTTTCTCTCTATCTCATATATATATATATATATATATATATATATATTGTCATCCACAGACGTAATGTTTCGCTGTATCACAGCTCTTCAGTGTGGCTAGAGGTCCGGTTGCCTCTAGCTAGAATCGAAACCCGGCTGAATTGGCGTCAGTCGGAGATTCTACCACTGAGCCGACGAAGGTGAATTTTAGCGTATTTATTTTTAGATGAACACACAGTAACTGAGAGGACTAGATTCGCTTTACCGAAGAGTCTTGCTATAATAGCCGTAATAGTCACTGTTTACAAACTCACACTTCCTCCCCCAGAGAGCTCAACCGAAATAAATTTTTCAGGAGGATATATATTGTCATCTACAGATAGACTATTTCGCTGTATCACAGCTCTTCAGTGTGGCTAGACGTCCGGTTGCCTCTAGCTAGGATCGAAACTCGGCTGAATCGGCGTCAGTCAATATATATATATATATATATATATATATATATATATACACACACACACACACACACACACACACACACACACACACACACACACACTACAGTTCAAAAGTTTGAAGCCACTCCCAGAATTAGCGTAGATGAACTTGACAGAAAAGTGGAAAAAAAAAAAAAAAAAATGAAAAAGAGCTCTTAGAGTCATAAAAAAAAGAATGGAATCAATTATCAAACTTCTACTTTGAGAAACTTTTTCAACGAATCCCAAACATTTGTGCTGCCGTAATGAATGTTAAAGGAGGATATTTTGACGAGAGCA